CTTGAAATAGATCTATACTAGTCTCCCTTTATTTATTTATCAGCACAAATGCAACACACACACACACACACACACACACACACACACACTTTAACATTCCCAAACTAAACCTCAGAGTTTAGTTTTGCGGTCTGATTTCTATAACCTAGCATTGCCCGGGTATTTATTTATTGGGGGGGGGTGTCCAGACCAAATGTAATTTCTAATGCTGGATTTTCCCCCTTCCCAGAGGGAGCCCCCTAGTGGAGTACTGTGAAGCTATTACCAGGGCAACTCCACTGCGCTGTACAGTAGAAACCATTTTACAGCAGTACAGTAGAATTCATTTTAAAGCTTTTTCGAAAACTCGGAAGACTAAACCGCTGGGCCCGGTGACCGACCCCGATTGGATCTTGCAAAATAGCCGGAGTTGAAACAGAGAAATTGACTGCACTCAAAGCGGAGACATTGACCATGTTCAACAAAGGGAAATGGCCACATTCGAAGCAGAGAATGTGACTGGACTGGAAGCGGAGAAATTGATCACACTTGAAAGGAAGAAATTGACCACAGTAGCAGCACTGAAATTGACCATACCCAGGTGCCCAGAGGAAAGAAATTAGGTACAAAAAGGAAAAGTGGTCGAGCGATCAAAAACAGAGTCGTGTCTTGGGAGGGTTCTTACCTTAATCGGACGAGGCCGATGGGGTTCGCGCCAGCGGAGCACTACCTGCCCCGCCACTGTCACTCCGTAGAAGAGGTAGTTGATGAAACCAACATAATTGATCAGCGTATATATGTCACTTGTAACCAGCATAAGCAAGGTGGACAGGCACTGCCAGAGACAATATAAAGGAAATCAGCTGAGGGGTTTAAACAACTGACAGAAGTGGACAATTCTCCCACAACAGCCAACCACATCAGTGTTTGTCAACCTTGGCTTGAAGAGGGATGGGCTTCAATTCCCAGAATCCCCCAGTCAGCTCGATAAGCTGCAGGGGGTTGCCGCTGTGACGACGTAGGACGGATAGGGAAGAAGCCAACCGCCAGTGATTGATCAGATGAGGAGACTCCCAAACTCATTGGTAGCTTCACATTGCAAGGAATAAGGACATACATTCAATTTTGCAGCTATTCAGATTGTTGGCCAAGCAGGTACAAAAACAGCCTGAGAAATTATTGAAACCTGGGAAACAGAACCCTTGACAGTCAGCGGGAGTGCTGATTTACCACCCGCTTATCAAGTACTTAGGAAGTTTGCTGGCTGGCGAATTCTGGGAGTTGAAGTCCACCCCTCTTCAAGCCTCCAAGGTAGACAAACACCACATGTTCTCATTGGATCCCACCCGCGTGGGATCTCTCCAGATCTCCCCGCCTGCTCTGACTGAGGCTTCCCGAGAGCATGAAGCAAACTCTTTGTCCCGACAAAACCCCCTTTTATTTATTTACTGTGAATTCGGCTCATTCACATCCAGCAAAGCCTTTCGAGGGAGGATTTACAGTCACCAACCTTATCTGGCTTGTAGAGCTGATAGGTCGATACCTGCGAAACTCGGCAAGGAGTCTCAGAGAGTCACGAACCAATGAAGCAAACTAATTGTCTCCTCCAAACTCCCCTCCCCTTTCGCTCCTCTTTT